TTTATGAACCCGCACCTCAGCTGGTGTAAACTGGGTTAGCTCCGCTGAAGTCAGTGATTTATACTAAGCTGAGTTTCTGGCTCAGTAACTCTTCATATATATTTTTTTCTTTTGGACAAAGGGAGATACTTGCCCTCGAGGATTGGCTGCTGTAGTAGAAGTACTTTGCTGTAAGGAAAATACTTTAGGGTCACAGTATTGTTTGTCTTTTGTATCTACAGGATCCAACTCAGGCAAATGAAGAAGCAATGACACAGATGATCAGAGTATCCTAACCACTGTCTGAAGGAAAAAGTAACCGAGCAAGTTTCCTGTCCCTCTGCAAGTGTGTCCTATCTTACCAGTGTATCAAGCAAACCTTCCAATGGGACAATCACCATATCTTAGCCTACCCTTTTCTATACAACAAAAACCACCTTTCCAGTAAGTGGTTTGTTTGGGATTTTAACTGCAGTGGACTCCGCAAATAGAAATTATAGGGACCTTTTTGGTATACCCATGTAATTCAACGCAGGGGTTTGAAAGTCTGACAACTCATGCCTTTTACATTTCTTGAATTAAGGTTGGCCAACTGACACAGTGCTTAGCAATAAGTCTGGCATGCTGAAGCAGGGCTAACTGAGACCATAGAGATCCATGGCCCTTCGGCAGAGGAGTAATCCAGTTTGTAGCAACCAGAGCTAACATGGCTACACCACAGTGCTTTGTTTTCCCAGTGGAGATTTGTTGTTTATATCCACTCCTCAGCTTTGGACTTCATTTACTGACAGCTGAACTGTTCACTTGTAGTTGCATTTGCCCTTCTGGAACTGTGTAACAGAACAGAAAGAGGTTCTCTAAGCGCCATCCTGTAAAAGTAAACAGCAAGCTCTTTTCTGGGAAAAGTTCAGCCATCTTGTCAAGTTGTTGTGAATATTGCAAGACCTTTACAAGAATTGAAATATTGTATATCTGTTCCAAGGAGTAAGATGGGAGTGGATCATTGACTCAGAGCTAAGTAGGGAAAACAACCTTGGCGCTGGTGGCATGTTGCTAGCAATGGATGCCTTGAAAGGAGAAATCCAGCTCCTGGGATAAAAATGATTAAAAAAAAGTTTGAGATTCTCTTCTAAAAGAAGTTCAATGTTGGTTTTTACTCTGCCAGTGCAGAACTTGGTTACTCCAAGAGATGAAATCTGGAACCTCAGAATGGAGGGATTGACTGTCTCCCACTGTGGCTGTTTGAGTGTGTTTTAAATTGCAGATGGTTCTGTATGGTGCTTTGACCTTATTCAGGGCGAAGGATGGCTCCATCACAACTGGAGCAGAGGCCAGCTCAATTTGGTGCATTCTGGTCTAGCTCAAAGACTATTTATGCAGTGAGGGTAAATGTTGTCGATCCCTTCAGGCTTTTTATGAAATGTCCTCTTTTATAAACATGGCACTTAGAGAATGAAGGAGGAATCTTTGCTTTTTTTTAAGTAGAATCCCTTTTTTGTGACTTCTTTATATGGGCATCTGTTGAATACCTTTGTGATTAGCCACTCTTGGATTTTGAACTTGGTCCATCATCCTGGCTTTGAAATTTGGCAATGGGATCTGAGGTTTCTATAGCCTTCTAGCAGATTAAATTTAGCTGCCTATTTTCACCCCTACTTCATCCGCACTTAAGCTGATTCCCTTTACACATCTACGGTGCTCTGTGTTTTAAATCTTAAGACTGTATTGGGTCACCAGAATTAAGTGTGATGGGTGAGTCTGAATGATGAAAGCAGTGGAGAGGAGAGTCTTCATGGGTGAAGTAGTGAAGAAGGAGATTTGGAAAGGCTAGGTAAATTTCAGGGGAGTCTGTCTTAAGGTAGCAGAGCAAGCACAGTTGTTTGGAGAATATGCCATATACCATCTCCTCAAATTGTGACAGGAGGAACACTCAAAGTAACAATTTAGTTGTGTAAACTGGAGGAAGAAAATCGGGTGGCAAACAGAGGAGAGGGATGGGTGAACAATGCCACCAGAAGACCCCTTTCCTTTGGATAAAAGGATACTAAACCTAAAATAGTAAAAACAGGTGGGAGAGCATCAAAGAGATAAACAGAAAAGGGGGAAATGATGTATTTCTGTTTGTCAGCAGTCAGCCTGGAGGGGAGAGACTGCTTGACCAGATGCCAAGAGAACTGGAGTTCTTGGGCCAGCCACCTAGGAAGGTTCCCAAATTTCAGCCAGTAAAAATACAGGAAGGGAATTGCTACATTGGGATTTGTCTTTTGGCATGTAGACTATATTTTGTAATTAAAGATGATAATCTTTCCTGCCTAGTTCAATGTTCCCCACCCCCATGGTTGACACGAACTAAAATTTGCAAGGAGCTGTGTTGTAGTTTGTTGGTTTTGTACACAGTTAAGGGATGACATGGAACCCTAGTTTCAATTCATGACATGCAAATAAAGGAATACATTATTTTTGTATTTTGTCTTAGGTTGTATTTGTTACTTACTTTTTGCATTTTCATTTTATTATTCAAAAAGCATTAGTTTGCCCCTTACATCGTTGGCATCTCTGGTTGGTTGCTCTGTCTTAAAATATTTTGGCCAATTAGAGTATGGTGCTTTTTTTTTCTTCTTCACTTGGCTACCATGAAACCCTTGCTTAACATTTTTTGTCATGTCCCCTATTTCAGGAAATATCAAACTCTTTCCTAACGAAGGAACAGTAAATATTTTGCTTTGTTTGAATGAACACATTATTGTAAATACTTTTTAAGGGCATTTGTACATTTTGTCAGTCTGGGTTATCGATGCACGCTGGGTGGTGGGAAGAGTAGTTCCTTTCTGGATTAAGGAAGCCTCTCAGTCTTTCTGCTTTCATTTTACTACCAGTTTCTATCCCAGAGAATCTTCTCTGAAAGTTGGGAAGTTAGGGGAATGGAGGTTGTTGGTCTGATATCTGTATCTGCGTAATTAGCCCCAGTGTTTTTTTCTTTAAGAATTTATACAACTCTTCACAAAACATCTAGAACTTCTTCCAGATAACCCCCCCCCCAATAAATTCTCTGAGCCATAGTTGTAGAAGGTTTATAAAGACCTATGCATTTGTGCTACATAGATTTCTTGTAGGTAAGTTTTTATACAGTGGTGTGAAAGCCTGGGTGTTTGTGTCATACTTTTTCTTTGTTTTGGTTTTCCCGTATTCAGTGACACATTTCTGAAGGCCTTTGTTTGCTCAGTGAGATTGAAGATCTCAGCACCATGTTACAAAAAGATTCCAAGCTCTTTTTACAAATAAATTATAAAACTGGAGATGCTGTGAGATAAAAGCCTGTAGTAAGTGAATGTGAGCACTCTAGCTTGTGTATTGGCTAGATTTGGACATAAATTCCAGATTGGGGGCACAGTACAGTAGGACAGATCAGGATATAAGAAATAATGATGGGTATGAGGCGAACTTGATGCTTGGTGAGTTGACCCCTAAAGTATTGGAGCATTGAACCTATCAAAACCAGTTTTATACAAGTGTAGAATGGGGTGTGGGAAATGATCCCTAAGTGAGGCTAAGTAGTTTCAAAGGCTTTTGCATGTTAAAAAAAAAAAAAAGTCAGTTTCTTACTTTGTGAATGGGTGGGCGGGAGGTATTGAGATTTGTGTAACGTAAGGCAACGTTTGTAAATAGTTCAAAAGTTTATAATTTTTTTTATATGATGCATTTTTTCAAGTGTATTTTGTCTTTAATAGATGCAACTGTAAGTACTGTGTACACTATCCAGCGAATAAAAAATTTATAAACTCTGAGCTCCTGGTTTTTGCTTTCTTTCTTATCTCTTTAAACTTTTCTGAGTGGTTGTGGTGCAGTTGGGATGATTTTTACCCTTTCCTCTGCACCGCACATCCCCAAAAAAGTTCTGGCCCTGTTCACAGCATCTATAAACAGGTGGCATGCAATATTGATGAAGGCCAGACTACCCCAGGGACCAGTGAGCAAGCTGTGAGTGACCGCAGCTTCAGGCAGCCAGTCTCCCTGTAGCATGGCCTGCAGCCATGGAGGACAATTGGACTGTGCCTGTAAGGTCTTGTTTGATTGATTTTTTTTTTGCTGGTGGGGGGGGGGATCTGAGGGGGATGTCTCTGTTGGGAGCTTCCTGCAGGATGGGGCAGACCATGAGGGAGCAGGAAACAGAGGACATTCCCTTATTCTTCCCTCTCTTGCCCCATATTCTAGCACAATGAGGACTTTCAGCTGCTGAGGGTGGTACCTTGTAGAGGCTCTTGATTGGGTGGTAGACTAATCTGTACAAGCCATAACGGTTAAACGGCTACTTGCAGCTAACAGGTCATGGGCTGGGGAAGCTCTGATTGGCTGAAGTGGGGTGTGTGGCCCTGCAGTGGGGACTTCTGATTGGCCCTGAGGGGGGGCCTGGCTTCCCAGTGGGGAGTTCCGAGTGGCTGAGGAAGGGTGACTCACCTCAGAACTTTTGAGTGTTTGAAGCTGCTTCTGGCACCAAGATGGCAGCTTATGGGAGGGAAGCATTGGTGGGCAACACCCAGGATGGATCCCTTCAGAGAGGAGCTGGGGATATGGGGATGTTGGCAGGGTCCTCTCACAGGGGGAAGATGGAGGAGTCAGCTGGGACCCCTCAGTGGGGGGTTGGGGACATGGGCCCAGCAGGGGAGCCCTCTCAGTGGGGGAAGATGGGTATGTCAAGTGGGCCTTTTCAGATGGTGGTGAAGGTCACGGCAGCATCTGACGAGTCTCTTTGGACAACAGGGGCATCGCATAGTCCCCCTCAGAGTGGAGCAGGGGATGTGGAGGGCGAGAGCTGGTCTCTGCAGGAGGGGAGGGAAATGGCTGTGCCAAACAGATTCCCTCCATGGGGCGAAGGGGACAGGGGAAGCTTCAGCTGGTTCCCTCAGCGTGGGAAGGTGACATATGAATCCCTGCAGAGGGTAAAGCAGGAGATAATGGCTCGGACCCCACAGCTGGTAGAGGTGGCATCATTTTCCTGTGGGCCACCTCAGGAGGTGGGGAGGATGGGGGTGCTGAAGGAGTCCTCTCAGGAAATGGGGAAGAAGGAGGTGGAGGTGAGCTTCCCTCCCAGGCAGGTGCAGGTGGTTGCCCTGCTCCCAGACCTGCTGGTGTATAACAATCACTCCCTCCGGCGGATGCTGCCTTCCATGGAGACCTTCAATGGAGTCTTGCTCTGCGTGGAGATTACAGGTGAGGAACAGGGCTGCCTGTGGCAAATCTCTGTCTGTGCTCCCTTTGTGGATGGGGCAACCATTTGAGCTGATCAGTTGGTCAGCAGCTGCCTTTAAGGGTTTTCGGCACTGGCACCCTCTGCAAGGGGTGCTTTACAGGCTTTAAGGCTGGTCCTCAGTAAACTCCTGGACCTTCCCTTTTGTGTCTTATTTATCTAGGTTCTTTTATCAGTGCTATATGAGTGTCCTTGAAAAGAACCCTTTTGTTTAATATCCTCTCTGCCAGTTGCTTGAGTGGGCTCCCAGCCTTGAAGGCTCATCCCTTTTTGCCTTTCTTTAGACAAAGTGGAGATCTGACCTTGTGAAATTCTGGCAGAAAGTGGTGTCTCTTCTCCAACTGAACCAGTCTGACTACCTGTCATGGGCCTTAATCCCTGCTGCATCCCGAGGCAGCTTTGCTTCACTGAGCAGATGGGAAGGTTCCAGTTTGTCCAACATCATGATTAGAAATGAGTATGATAACTTCAGCCTAGGACAGTGGTTCTCAAAGTTTTGTACTGGTGACCCCTTTCACATAGCAGGCCTCTGAGTGAGACCCCCCCCCCTTATAAATTAAAAACACTTTTAAATATATTTAACACCATTATAAATGCTGTAGGCCAAGCAGGATTTGGGGTGGAGGCTGACAGGTCGAGACTCCCCCACCCCCATGTAATAACCTCACGACCCCCTGAGGAAAACTGACCCCCAGTTTGAGAACCCCTGGTCTAGGACTTAGTGGGTGTTAATCCTTCCACTGGGCGCGCTCACAAAGTTCAACACAAACAATAGAGCTCTTCAAAGAATCCCAAGGCTTGAAATAGAAGGTGCATGCATGTCTCTAGAAAGCACTGTCAGTCTCTTATTTCATAAGTACCAAACTCACCACAAACCCTACATTATTCTTATAATTTGTAATGGAAAGTGTATTTGACTGCAATAGCTGAGACCTGCCACTTATAGCCCCTTCCCTAGGTAGGCATCTGTTATTCTTTGGTACAATATTGAAAACTCCCTCAGGATGACGGTTTGGCCTTCTGTCTTTGCATGTGTCACAGGATTAACTGCTCTCCTTGAAAAGCTATACACAAACAATGACCTGAACTGTGGCATGGAACAGCTGACCCAGATGCTCAATGATTACATAGAAGGCATAATGGAGCGTAAGTACTACCTCACCCGAAAGGTGGAGAGGTGAAGTCGAAACTGAGAATTGGAGATTAGCTTGATTCTGCCAAAATGCTGTTCTTTCTGAGACATCTGGTCCTTTATTTTCTTGGTGGTCTTCCAGGAGTATCACCTAACTCTTCACTGCCCCCTCCACATATCATAAAGCAATTGTCATCCTGATCAAATGTAACTAGATGGACACCTCTTACCACTTGTCGCTTTTGTGGCGCAGAAGAAAGTTTCTCCCGTAAATGGGTTGGAGGAGGCTTTCAGAGGGGCAGTTAAGATGCCCACCTCTCAGAGTCAATAGGAGTTGGGGTGCCACTCTCCCCTTAATACCTTTGAAGGGGCATTAGTTTTATTTTTTGTCACCACCTGGCTGTTTCTCTGTCATAGGGAGGTTTCAGATCTTTTCTCTTGAGGGGGAATCTGTGTATTGTAAATAAACACAGCACAGGCAGAAAAGGCTAATTTACCAATTCTGGAGTACCAAGCCCCACTGGGTCAAGGTGGGCTGTTACACAGGGCTTTATGTAGACTCCTTCTCCCTTCTTTTTTGCAGTTGAGCTGCATAGCTGGTGTCATCCAATCTCTAACAAATGTCAACTGGTTGTCAAATCTTACAAATTACAGTTGGAAATTTGGGGCACCCTGGAAAGAAGCGTAACGACTTTGACCTACTTTTAACATGGGTTCAAAACAAGTCTTCAACCAACCATTATTAAATTTTATACCCTGTCACGTCTTCCTGTTTGTTGTTTTCCCCTGCTTTTTATGATATTTTTATATAATAAGCACGTATGCGATTAAAAACAACCTTACACAGCTATAACAAAAGGTCGTGCTCTTAAACATATTTTTGCTTAACAAGCAGATTAGTGCTTATTTGCTAATAATTCTTTATCATCTCTTTTATCATTACTTTTTGCTAAGTTTTATGTGGGAGTTCTCTAGCATAGCCTTCATATACCCACAGTATTAACCTTCTTATGTTGGTGTTACTAGAGTCTTCGGGGAAACCAGCTCTGAAATGAGATGATCGTAGCATTGCTGTACAGAGGGTGGAGGTGGTGTGTTTAACTCCATAAGCCAGGAAACTTTGGTGGGCCAGCAGATGTTCACTCTTGGTCAAGCAGCATTGCTCTGTTGCAGAGGAATATATTAAAGAAGATGCAACCCCTACCCTAAGGAGTTTGTAAATAATGTGCCCTGCTGGCTGCCATTTCTGTGTTTCTGAAAATGTGTTTTAAAAATAGTGTTTTATTATTCTAGCTAAATCCCTGTTTTTTCTTCTTAGTGGTTGTGGTATTGGAGAGTGAGTTAAATTTGGGCTCTAGTTCTCTGGCATGTTAGTGGCTTCAGTGGTGATGTGCTCAAATTGGCACACACTCATCCATAAAGGAATTAGTTCATTGATTGAAAATGGAAAATCCTGGGGTCCTGATCACGTGTGACAGTTAGCTCTCCTGGCAAGCATATGAATTTGTGGGCTATTAGTCCTAAGGTGCTGGCCAAATTCCAGTTAGAATAATTGGATTCTGTCTTCCTCTTAGATGCACACCCTGCCCCAATCTCCATGTTCATACAACACTGAGCACAACGAGGTTCCCAAGCCTGAGCAGGGTCTCTGAGCACTACCAAAATGCAAATATTTAAATAATTTCCCCCCACTGAATCCCATGAGAGTGCTGTTTCCCCTTTCCATACTCCACTGTTATGCAGTCTTTCTATGCGTTATAAAACAGTTATGCCCTATCTCAGCAATGCCAAAGTGGTTCTTGTGTAGATCTATAGTTTGTAAAGCTCTTTGGGATGAAAGCAGCTATATAATGAAGATGGCATTACATTCTGTCTCATTTATTCATTTTCTGTGTTCCTCAGATGTGCTTTGTTTCGGAGGTGACATCTTGAACTTCACAGGTACTTCTCACATTGTACTATGCCTTTGAAACGTATCAGTGGCTATTACAGTATTTTTGGCCTGATTTGCCACCCACTGGAGTTAAAAAATGGCAAAGCTCCCATTGACTTCAGTGGGACAGGATCAGGCCCTTCATGGGTCTCACCAGCTGGAAATCACACACATGAAAAGAGCCATCTCTGTTTCATGCCCCCTTCCGTTCTGCTCTCTCCCCTGCAGGGGATGCATTGCTGGTGCTCTGGAAGGTCGAACGAAGCCAGCTCAGTGACATCATTACACTTGCAGCAAAATGCAGCCTGGAGATGCAGAAGCAGTTCGGGTTTAGCTACACGGAAGTGGGCCCAGAGCTCCGACTGAAGATCGGTACAGATGCCTAATGGAAGAAATATGTGACAGCAACCTCAGCTCCGAAGAAACATATTGGCAGCTCACCTGGTCTTCTCTGAGTGCTTGCTCATGTCCATTCCATATTAGGTGTGTGTGCTTGACACATGCACGGGTGCTGGAAGTTTTTCTCTTAGCAGCATCTGTAGGGGACCGACTGTGGCCCCATCAGGAGTGGAAGTGAGCACACACACCTAATATGGAATGGACATGAGCAACACATCGTGAAGAACACCACTTTCGGAAAAGGTAACTGTCTTCTTCTTTTCCTTTCAGGGCTGTCTGCAGGCCACGTGTCTCAGCTCATTGTCGGTGATGAGATGCGTCAGTACTGGCTGGTGACTGGCCAGCAAGTGGATGATGTGAGACTGGCACAAAGCCTGGCACAAGCTCGTGAGGTGATTCTATCACCGAACTGCTGGGAGCTCTGTGACCGGGACGTGTTAGAAGCAGAAATGCTTAAAGGCCAAAAAGCCAGGAAGGTAGGAGCCCCATAGTGCTTTTGCAATTACTATGCAGTGAAGTCCGTAATATGGAGTCCACTGATGTCAAAAGAGGAGAGCCTCATTGAGTTCAGTGAGCTTTGGATCAGTCCATTAGCCAACATATATCAGGCTGGCTTGTGTTCATAGGGTTCCCTTTTCTGTTAGCTAGTGGGACTTTTTCTTGAGCTGAGCTTGTGCTTTTACAGCCAAAGATTGTGAGTTCTATTCCCCCATGCTATGCTGAGCATGTGCTAAATTGCTGCAGGGTACCTTCCCTCTGAGGCAAATTTGAGCAACTGATTTACTTTTAAGGCTAGCAGTTCTTCCCAATTTCTGATGATCACCAGATGGGGTCAGTATACTGTGTCATGCCAGGGCCTTTTGGCCTGATTTTCAGAAGAGCTGAGCACCCACAAATCCTAGGGAAGTCAATGAGGAGGGGGCAGGCGCTCACCCCTTTGCAAATCCAGAACCTTTAACTTCTGGCAGAAGCGGGCTGAATATAGCCAGGAAGGTGTCAATAGTGGGAATGATAAACTTAGTTTGGGATGCAATTTAGGCATGATGACCATAGTGAAGGATGAGATCCTGGGTTATTCCAGCATCTGTTGATGTATTTTTTACTGAGCAGACTCTGGGGAAATGACACTCTGTCTATAATTTTTTCTGTGTACTCAGCTGCAATACCTAAAGATTTTCCACCCACCTGATTTTGATGAACACTTTGAAAAGTGCATAGACCATCTACAGCATTATCCAAACGATGAAGGTGAGATCCTCGCATTCAGCGTCTGAGTCAACAAGAATGCAGGATCCCTGGAATAGGGAGAGGCCTTCGCCCCCTTCCCCTCCTCCCACCTTTGCCTCTTGATAACTTAAATCAGCGTTTCTCAAACTGGGGTCTGCGAAGGGTACTCCAGGGGGTCCGCGGGCCATGCTGATCAACTCTTCCTTCTCCCTCCCTCAACTCCTCCTCTTCCTCCCAGCGCCTCCTGCACGCTGGGAGAACAGCTGTTTCCTGGTGTGCAGGAGGCACTGGGAGGGAGGGGGAGGAGCAGGGATGGGGCGGGGAAGAGGAGGGTAGGAGTGGAGCAGGGCAGGAAGAGGGGGCAGGGCTTTGGGGGAAGGGGTGGAGTGGGGGTGGGGCCTGGGGCTGAGCAGAGGGCTTGGGGGGTCCGTGAAAAAAAAATTAAATCAAAATGGGCGTCCTCGGGTTGCTAAAGTTTGAGAACCGCTGACTTAAACCATATAAATTCCTTTCCTAGTCCTACTGAGAAATGCTGTGGCACTGGCTTCCAGTCATGGATTCGAGCTGGCCTTGCGGAGGTTTGTCTTGGGAAATGTTCTGAAGAAGGTAAGATGCTGATGTTTCTGTTCTGATACGTGCTGTTCCTCCCCAGTGAATCCCCACCCGAGGCAATGAAGAGAGTAAATCCCAGGCGCATGGAGGAACTGAGTCTTTTCCCCATGTTCCTTATCTTCCAGATTGACGACAATCAGCCACTGGAGTTTGTATCTGAACTTCGACTGGTAACCGCGGTCTCTGTCAAGCTGCAATTTCACGAGAGCACAAAAATGACAGAGCTGTGCAAATTGGTCCAGGATGCCACTGTGAGCATCTCTGGTATCATGGAGGGCTGGAGAGGCAAAATTATCAAAATCTCCACGTTTGGCAAAGTGAGTAAAGCAGGGCTTAGCTGCTCTGTGAAATGCAACCCAGCTGGCATAGGGATCACTGTGAGAATTAGGGAGAGGCATGCCCACTAGGATGGCATGGGTGGGGACCATTCAGCTGCCAGCCAGGCACAGAAAATCTCAGACAGTGGCATCTGTCCAATAGTAAGAACCAACTGATGTTTGTGAGCAAGTGGGATACCTGGTGCTTTTGGCCTGAGCAGCGCTTTTACCATTGTGGTTGTTTGTTTGTATTACAGCAGCACATAGAAAGGCCAGCTAAGATATGGGGCCCATTTGTGCTGGGCGCTGGCCATACTCCATAGTAAGAAATAGTCCCTGCCCCAAAGAGCTTATTGTCCTGACTGACAACGGGTGGGAGAAAGGAAATATCATTGCCCCGTTTTTTACAGGGAGTCTGCCAGGCAGCTGGGAATCAAACCCAGATCTGTTAAGGCCCAGCCTTAATCACAGGACCATCCTTTTCCTCAGCCCTCTTTGTTCCCAAACTCTTTGTAACCTCATGCAAAATGCATCATGCCTGTAGCTTTTCAGAATTCAAGCATTTAAGGAAGTCTTGGATGTTTGAAGGCACAACTGGGTTGAGCCCCTCTGGCATATCCTTAATAGAATACTTGGGTTACTTATTAATCTACTTTTAACCACTTCTCCTTTTCTGTCCTTCAACACAGGGCTGCACGTTTCTGTGTGTCTTTGGGCTGCCTGGTGATAAGAGGGAGGAGGAGAGCACCCATGCCTTAGATAGTGCAATTAGCATCTCTAATCTCTGCTCTAAGAATCTCATAAAAATTGAGTAAGTGCAATGACCCTCTGCCTGGGTCATCAGCAAGCTCCCAGCCTGGGATCTTCAGCACTACAGCACTGACTTTTACCAACTGAGCTAAGGGAGTTAGCTGGCAGCAGTAGTTGGCTGTTATCTTCTAGTGGACCAGAGTCCGTTGTGTTTTTCTTTTGTTCTTTGGTCCAGTGCACTGTTGGAACTGAGCTGCCAAGACTTGCAGGGGATCTGGGAGAAACATTCATTCATTTTAACCTCTCGTCGTGGATCACACTGACCGCTGCTTGAGAAAATGTGACTCCGTCATGGCTTAATTCCAGTGCTGGTCACAAGTGGGAGCTGTACAGTGACACAGGTTGTCATGGGTATTGACAACCAGAAATAACAAGAAAAATATCTGAAAGTAAATGTGTTAGGAACACAGGAACTCCCAGGCTGGATTAGATCAGGGATCCATCTAGTCCCATGTTCTGTCTCTGACCATTGCTGCTTCAGAGGAAGATGCAAGAGCCCTGCATTTATGGGGTAACCTGCTCAAAGGGAAACCTTGCCCATTAATTAGAGATTGGCTTGTACCTTGATGCAGGAAGGTTTATAACCCTTCCAAAACTTTTTTTTTTATCATTACCACTGTAATTCTGGATGTTCACTGGGTGTTTTATTCTGGAAAGGAACTGATTACTACTTGGGATAATATTTCTCCAGTGCCGTTACATCCCCGATCACCAGCCTGCCAGTCCTGTGAAAACCACCATTGCTCTGAGATCAGCATAGAACAAAAGTGTTTCATGACATTACGGGGACCGAGTGTTAATTGGCCAGTGGATGAGCCAATCATTTATCACAGGCCCAGAACAGTAGTGGCAAGCCCTGTAGTGAGTCTAGATCACTAATAAAGCAAAGAGGGTGAGAAAGTTATAGCTATGGAGAGTGTTAGCAGGAGACGGCTGATTCCATGTTGCTCTTACTCTATTTTAGGCTTGTTTCCATTGGGATTACAAGTGGAGTAGCGTTCTGCGGAGTTGCTGGCATGCGTCCTAGACAAGAATATACAGGTAGGATAGGACTTAGCTGTGGTGTGTGTGTGTGTGTGTGTGAATCCGTTAGATTGCTCACAGCCTTTCCCCATACTCTATTCCTGATGCAGTCACTGGCTCGAAGGTTAAGATGGCCTCCAGGATGCTGACACTCTATCCAGGGATGATATCATGTGATGAAAAGACTTACTCAAAATCTGGGTTGCCCGGCTGTTTTTTTAAGAAGCTTCCAGAGAAGGAGATGAGCGATGCCATGAGCCCTGGGGTAACCTATGAATATCTCGGCAGAAAGAGAAACCTGTAAGTCACTCCTATGTGCTCCTTCCAGTACAAGCAAGAGAGAAGGGAAAATCTAACTCTGTTAACTCAAAGGCTGGATATTCTTACCCAGGGGTAAGCAATCCCAGAGAGCTTGCAAACAGGCGTAGATGGTTGGGACCACCGTGCCCTTCCCATCTTGCTAAATAGAAGCTGGGACCTGACTTGTTCCCAGCTAGATGGAAGGAGTTCTGATAAGGAAAAGGTTGAGAACCACTATCCTTCTCCAAACAACTGCCTGAAATGTCCTCCAACCACCTGCATTTCCACTGGGGTTAAGAATGGGCTGTATGCAGCAAATGAATGAGCCCATCTAACTCTTTCATTTCGCCTCTGGGCAGCCAGATGGGTTCATGGAGCTTCTGAAATTCTTTCTTCTGTTCTCTTTATTTCTTACCTAGCATCTGATAGTCCAGGTAGGTGATCACTGACTCTTGCCGTCCTTCCTCCTTTTAGAATGTTTGGAAAGTCGGGCTTTACCAGGAAGAAGGATGGGAATCGACCCTTGCTGGGTAGGTGGATCTATCCTCCTGGCACGGTATTAGTAATGTGCAGAACATCCCTGAAGGTCAGGAAGGGACGCAATGGTGGGAGGAAGGACATGGGGATAAATAGGCAGGGGAGTTGCCATCTAACAACATCAGGGAAAGTAAGAGCCATATGTTTTTGTTTAAAGCAAAATATCAGTTCTGATTTTCCCCCTCTCCTGTTCCCATGTGTCCACAGTTCTGATGCTTATCTTTGCAGGCAAGATAAAGGGTTGTAGGCCAGCAGCCCAACCGGTTGCAAGGCACCTGTGATTGAGACAGATATGCAACCTATAAAATGAGAGAGGACAATTCACAAGCTAGCTCGTCTGCTTGATGGCACCACAGTGCAATGCCAGATGTAGGATTAGAACTCAGGCCCAGAGCTCTTCCTCATGGCCCCTGAGCTGGACACACCCCAGAGAGGGTTTACTTAGGCCCACGGCATGTTGGAGTGTTTTTTTTCTTGTTGCTTTTGAACAACCCCCTAAGACCAATGTCTGAAGTAGCATTTTAGAGACAGCCACTTCCACTGCATGGCTAGGAAGAACAATGTCCTATACCCTAGTATACTGTCTATAAAATGCCTTCCTCTTGAAAGGTCGCGAGAAAGAGATCAGAATCTTCCAGGCTGCACTGCAAGAATTTGTGAGACACAGAGAAGGCCGTGTTGTTATGTACGAAGGCTCTACGGGCTATGGAAAAAGCCGATTAATTGCTGAAATAGACTACTTAGCCAGGGAGGAAAATCACAGGTCAGTTCTCTTAACTTTGCTTAGTAGCATCCCTGTTCCAGTCTTGGGCCACCACACAGTTCTGCAAAGGCTCCTCAATCCTGACTTGTGTATCCTAGACTTAATACACCCCTAAGCATAAAGCAGGGTCTTATCTATGTGTAGTTAGATATTTATCTGAACCTCCTAGGCAATTGTTTTTGAGTTTCAGGGGAAGGTATTTGCTAGGGTGTTTTTGTCTCTCTCAGAGCCTCCTCCCCACAACAATCTCATCCGTGGAGCCAGATCAACCCTTCCGGCGGGTGTCACGAGCGACGGTTGCAATGTGTGTTCATCATGATACCACCACAGTCATTCAGTGTAACCACTTATTTAGTGGCTCTTGGTGACCGTCATGTGAGCTCAGACCGGTGACAAAATGCCACGTGAAGCACCTTCACCTGTATCTGGGTCTCACCAGTGAGGGCTCCGTTATCATGGATAAAATACCATCCTCATCGCCTCAATGAGCCAACACTGGAGGGGAGGGTAATTCAGCTGCCAGTGAACCCATCATGTGATCTCCCACCTCTATTTGTCCTGTAGTTTAGGTGGCCTTCTTTCTATTCCCTGTGGCTGCTTCTGCAGGCAGAATTGCTCCCTATGTCAGTGAAAAACAGACATGAATAGCAGGATGTGCTGGGTATGAAATCAAGAGTGAATGTTTTCCCCAAGAAGCCAGCTCCAAATCTGAACACAGATGTCAGGGGCTTGATGCAGGAATCAGTGGGCGAGATTCTATGGCCTGTGCACTGTTAACGTTATGTTTTATAGTTATAGTCAGACCAGATGATCATAATGGTTTCTTCAGGGTTTAAAATCTATGGCTCACCACCATCATATGTCGTACTGTGTTGGGTGTATCTAGCTTGCCCATATACCACTCAAGAGGCTGCATCTCCCCCCTGCCCTCCCGACACAGTTTCTGTCAGACACTTCTAATCAAGGTTGGGGGCAGATCTCTAAGAAGCTTCACAAGCTGCTCAGAGGACGCTCTATAGAATGAGACCTTTGAGTCTGTGTTCGTACAGTGCCTAGCACAATGGGGTCCTGGGCCGTGACTGGGGTTCCTTGGTGCTACCATGATACAAATAATAATAATAATTTTCAACACAGAGTGATAGCACTGGAGCTGTCCAAAGTAGATATCCAGGAGTCCTTCTATGCTATCCGGTCACTTATGGCCATATTCTTCGGGATTGATGCCTGTAGACCTTATAAGAGACAAGACATCCTTCAAAGCAAGCTCAGTGGGCTGTGGGATGAGACCTTCTACTGTCTCCTCAATAATCAGTTCCTTGTGAAGGTAATGGGGAAAGCAGCTGCTCTCTGGGAGAAGACCCAGTGATGTGTAACCACTTTGTACATGAGCCGGTTACAAGGAGCGGGGGGTTCAGTTGATTCCTTCATTTCTGCCAGGCCCATGTCTCAGCATCTATCATCCTTGCCTTGAATTTCACTGGCAGAAATGTCAAAATTGTGGCTAGGATCAAATTTCCAAATCAGAAAGCCAAAACGTTTTCACTGTTCTAGATGGGACTGACCGGTACATTGGATACAGCTACTAAATTTCCCTGAATTTGTCTGGAGCATCCAGTGACCTCAAGGAATTCAAAACCCCCTTGACGTGCTGTGAGTTCGGAATTAGGCAACCTTCTGTTCACCTTTGCCTGAGATTAGCCTCATTGCTGTTCTGATGCCAGCTCCTTGAGTCTCAGTCTTGCTTTGGGGGCACAGCTCTTACCCCTTAAAGAGCACTGAGGGAGACCTGGTGAGGGGTTTATGGAGGGGAGCAATCCAGCCCAAGGCAAGGGGGTGTGTGAGGGAGGGAGTTCAATGCATGCAGAAGTGTCTTCTTGCTGATTTCATCATTGAGTGCCGTTGACGGACAGCGGTGATGCCACTGGTGGGTGGTGACCTTTGTGATGTGGATAACTGCCCGCTAGGTATTGGACTAAGAGCCAGCAAATTCATGTAATGTAGTTCATCAAACAGTGGCCAGATGGGAACATCACAGTGACATGGGTCAAGTTCAAGCCGGTGGCCTAGGAAGCAAAAGGTTCCATTGGGTGTCCCATGACAAATCCTGAGTCATTAGGTCTCCACAGGGAAAGGTTTATTTAAAAAAAAAGAAAAAAAGCGACGAGCAATGCATGTACACCTTGCTGCACTGGAAATTTGTTCTTGGCTGCTTTTCTGCTAATATGCATTAACTCCCAAGCATGCTGCGTCTCTTGCTAACGGTGCTGGTGTCTTCCTGACCAGTTCCCCATGTCAGCTGAGGTTTCTCACATGGACAATGAGACAAAGCAAAAAGAAGAGGAAATGCTTTTCCTCAGAGTCCTGTGGAAGGTGAGCGAACCCCATCACCATATAAATGAGGTGAACAGACATCCCAAACTAGGTACAAGTGAGAGGTTGGGCTTGCAGGTGTTAAACCGTGCCCCTGGATAGGTCATCGGCTGTGGGGATAGAACATGGGTTGAGCACCTGTTGCCTGAGTGTAGATCCAGCTCTGTCAGCTGTGGCTGTAGAAGGTTCATCAAGCGCTGTATGTGGCCCAGCTCACCACTAGAGGGTACAGAGCACCACCCTGAGTGGGTTACAAAGGCATGGCTAGCAAACAGCTTTACTTTAATGGATGACCATCCACTTGGACTATCTTCCCCAAAGACTCAATAGGGATGTCTTCCCTGAATCTGAGATGCTTGGTGGAGGCCCTTCCTGAATACACAGGCTGGGATTTTCAAAAGCAGCTGTGTCTCTTAGGAGCACAAGTCCTGTTGAAAGTCACTGGGATTTCTGTTCCTAAATCAGCTGGGTGCCCTTGAAAATCACCTCGCATAGCGCTTGTTCCTGCCTGGAAAACTGGTAAAAAGGTTCATCTCCTTACCAGTTAAATGCTGGGTTAGAAATATGGGGCCAGATTCTCACCTGGTTTAACCTGACCTCAACATTGACCTCAACAGAGCTACGCTGTTTTATGCAAACCGAGGAAGTAGCTTGAGGAGTTTTAACATTCAGGCTCAACAGGTGCAGGGAGGAATCAGTGGAGAGTTGAACTGATGTCAATTAAAAATACCCAGCTTAAAGAAATGAAACAAACCCCTGTCTGGTCTGTCTTGGCTCTTTTTCTCTCCTCTTGAAGCCTGGCCAAATGCGCTGATCTCTTCCCTTTTCTTTTTCAGGCAGCGGGAGAAGCGACACTGGTTTTCATCATTGATGAAGCCCAGTACATCGATGCTACCTCCTGGGATTTTCTGGCAAAACTCCTCTTGAGTGTCCCCATCTTTATAGTCCTGTCATTGTCTCCCTTTGCCTCCAAAGAGCTGCTCCCTTGTGCTTCTGCTGAAGGCATCATGAAGAGCCCCAAGACCACTGGCATTGTCCTCCGGGAACTGGAGCCTTCCAAACTCTTGGAGATGGCCCGTCAGGCCCTTGGGGTGGTGAGCATTCCCAGAGAGATGGAAACGTAAGTGCCCTTATCACCCAACTAATCTGCGTTAGCAAGTGGAGGGGAACAAATCCACCAGGGAGGGACATCAAGCCTTAAGAGCCTGGTCAAACTGGGAATAGAAGTCCTTATTCCCTGCCCCTGCTCTAAACTTTAGCCAGCACTGTTTAAAGTATGCCCTGGTATTGTTACTGATCTGGGTCTTGACTCAGGAAAGCACTTAAGCACATTTTCATTGCATGTGCTTAAATCCCATCAACTGCAATGGGACTTAAGCACCCGCTTAAACGGTTTCCTGAATCTGAATTTAATTTGAAAACCCTTCTCAGCTCACCAGCTAAACCAGACAAACAATTTAGGGCAATCCTTCATCTCCTGAGGATTTCCTATTCTATTTGTTCCTCCCACTTCTGGACCAGTTGCTCATTCCAGGGTCTTGGCCTTTATTGCTTAGCTTTCCCTCCTGATAATCGATGCATCATAAATGGGAAAAAAAGATAAACAAAATCAGCTATTTAAAAATATATTAAATGTGCTAAACTCCATATTACCACTGAGAAGCTGCTTGTATTAGTAAGTGTTGGGCTTTCTCCTTTCTTTAGATTCCTCATACAAAGAAGCTTTGGGGTCCCCTTGTACTGTGAAGCTTTACTGACGGACCTCCATGCTAATGGGGTTCTTGAGTTTTGCCGCATCCCAGAGGAGGAGAAGGAAGAGGATGAGTGGGATAACCTGTCTAGTACGATACACCTTCTTAACTCATCTAAATCCCATGGCTCTGTTCCCAGCCAGAGGACTCAGAATTCCAGTTTACATCCCTATTTCATATTAGCTGGGTCTTGGGAGACATGGAGCAGGTCTGGATAATTTAGGGGATGTCTAAGGGAACAGAGAGCCTTTCCCCTCAGTCTCTGAGGCTAACAGAATAGAGAGCTTTTCACTTCCGTGTCACTGGTTCAAATCGAGCTCAGTGTGAGTAGAAGTTATCACCTTCATGCTCACGTCCCTTCATATGCTACTGGAAGGCACCTAGATACTATGGTAAGGACAGTATAGGAACCTCCATAGAATAGAATAATACCTAGCTCTTCTATAGCACTTTTCATCAGTAGCTCTCAAAGGATTTTGCAAAGTTCCATATCATTACCCCCACTTTACAGATGGGAAACCGAGGCACAGAACAGGCAGTGACTTGCCCAAGGTCACCCAGCAGGCTAGTGGCAGAGCTGGAAACAGAACCCAGGTTTCACAGTCCTCCTCCAGTGAGCTATCACAAGGATACACATAGAATAGAATAGAATCATAGAATCATAGAATATAAGGGTTGGAAGGGACCCCAGAAGGTCATCTAGTCCAACCCCTTCTAACCAGTGAGCTATTCCCAAGGTTAACACCCAGCCAGGGCTTTGTCAAGCCTGACCTTAAAAACCTCTAAGGAAGGAGATTCTACAGATTATAGGGTTCTTCTCTACCTGTAGCCTGCCACTCTGAATCTATCCTGCCCAGGACCAGAAATGCAATCTTGGCTGAAAGGAAACTTCTTTAACTCACGGAGCCACCAACTTTTTAAAAACATTTCACTTGGGGATGATCTAACATCAGATCGGGTTGACTCGGTCTTCAGCTGAACTTTCTTTTGGCTCTGGACTTTAGTGCAGGAGCTGCTCTCACTGAAGAGGAGGTGATACGTGCTGCGGCGCTGCCATTCGCAGCCTAGATGCGCTTCCATTGCTTAGAGAGGGGGAAACCAGCTCCTGTAGTGTGGTCTGGTGCGGACGTGATTCATCTGAGGCGATGTGGCTTGTTGGGAGATTCAAAATAGCATTTCAGCAAAGGCTGTCGAGGATGCTTAGAAACTAGACTGACCTCAGATCTATCAGTCCCTGTATCAAAGTACCTGCAGTTTGCATTTTCTGACAGATGGAATAAATGCTGAGGAAAGAAAGATGAGTTTTACAGAGACCTTTCTAATATCTATAGTGCAGAAGACTAAATAAACCAGCACAAGTTCTTTAGCTCTCACTAGCTCATGGTTTAATTTGTGTGTGTGTGTGTGTGTGTGTGTGTATATGTATATGTGTGTGTGTGTGTGTGTGTTTTAAAATGAGCTCAAACTGTAAAATGTTTCCAAATGATTCCTTCTCTCCACACAGTCAGTGCTGTGAAATCGATACCCTACAGAGCGCCTCTTGTCTCCTCCAAGGAAAACAAAGAGCTTTACGTTTGTACCATCAGGACGGGTGTGGACCTGGACACTGTTCTACTCCCGGCGAGGCTGCAAGGTGAGCAGCTGATTGGCTGGTGCTCAGCGTGTCTCTTCAGAGGCAGCGGTCAAAGACAAATGAAAAAGACCTAGGGAGCTAAATGCCGCAGTGCAGGTCTGAGATCCGGGGCTCATCACAGAGGAGGGCTAAAGACTCTAGGAACTCTGTTAGACTGAGATAGTGTGGAGCTTTCAATAAAAGGGGTATCTACTGCGTTCACCCGTGGTGCTTTTTGGGTGCACAGTCCAAATCAAGCTCCATTCTTTCCGCTTATTTATCTGCCTAGGTACTCATGCAGTCTTCACTGCCACAGTATCTGTGCCTTATGATCCATAGCGTATTTAGCTCTACAGCTCCCCTGTGAGCTAGGGAAGCATTATTCTTGGGTTACATATGGGGAACTGAGGCACAGAGAAACGTAAGTGACTTGCCTTATGCTTCGTCACACTGTAGGTCTGTGACAGGGAACTGAGTCTGGGTCTTCTGAGTCACCAGCTGATGCCTTATCACGTCCAAATGGACTTGAATGATTGGTCACAAAGTACCTCGAACCCACTTCAGGTCAGTGCAAAATTGCACTCTGGGATTTCTTTTTAGTTGCCCAAGGCAACAGTGTTCACAAATGGTGTTCCCCTAAGGCACAGAGGGGGCTCCCTCAGTGTATTAATTTGTACAGAAAGAAGAGGTCAGGGATCCAGACAGGATTCTGCTGCTATCCTGGAATGGACTCAGGCTAAAGACCAGAGGGTCCATAATATATGGAATCACAGTCCTTATACAGGAGGCACCTATTGTAGAAAACAAACAGGAGTGAGCAGGCTTCCACACAGCTCGCGTTCCAGTTTCATCTGGCTTTGTTTACCAGGGACCACACTCTGGGCCTGATTCACTTATGCCAATCACTGAAGTCAGTGGAGTTACACTGATATAAAATGAGCATGAATGGGAATTGAAAATCATTGTCTGGAACTCTATGCAACATCCCAGAGATTGCTACCAACTGAACAATATCCTATGAGTTAATATATTCATGGGAGGAAGTGATTAACTGATTGACCTTTTTTGTCTGCAGAGATTGCTGTGGCCCAGTTGGACAGCTTGAGCCCCTCTGAGCAGATGGCAGTTAAATGTGCAGCTGTCATTGGCCATACATTTACTCCAGAGCTGCTGCTGTACATCCTCCCGGAGTGGACAAACAAGAAGATGGAAGAGACACTCATGAGCCTGATCAGTTCCCACGTGTTTGAGTATGTTGGAAAAGAAACCAGAGCTACACGGGCAGTAGGTTCCTGCCATTTACACACACATCTGGGCCCCCTGACGATGCAATCCCTAGGGCCAGAGGACTCTGAAGGTGAGCAGGGTTTTTAGTTTCCAGAACCCCCAGTGTTCCCTGGGAATGCTTTTGTTCCTCTCTCTTTTGGCCATACCTCGGAAATGATGGGCTAATGTCACTTTGTTTTGTCCCTGTGCGCCTGAGCCAAATCCCGTTCAAGTCAATGGAAGTATTTCCTTCCATTAACTTCATTGGAGTTTGGATCAGGCCCCATGTACATAGTCACTGGCCAGTGATGGCAGTTGAAATGCCACATCATATTTTGTGTCCATAAGTGCCGGGAAAATTACTCCTCGGGAGGCTTAGGAGAATTTTGCATGAGGATCTACAGCCATCGTAATCTCATTGGCTCTGCTTTATTATTATTTCTTTATACCGCTCCCTGGATGTGTAAAGCACTTCTATCAACAAAGAAAAAATGATAGGTCCCTGCCCAGAAGAACAGCCAGTCTAAGTGGTTTCCAGTCAGATAAATCTGATGCAATCATGCGATAAAGGAATTATTGCTGCTTTCTAGATGTCGGTGCTGCTGCTCAAGCTTCAGCCTGCAAGAGGAGCGGGGGATGTTGCAGCAGGATCAAGCAATGCGGTTCTGCACTCCCCTGCTGCGAGAAGGGGCCTATGAGCTGTGGCTGGGGGATCAGAAGAAGGCCCTGCACCTCAAATGTGCCACCTTCCTGGAGCACAAGGCTCACAAATGCAGAAGCTGCGGTGGAGGTGATTTCATTTCCTTCCACCGCTATGCCCTGGACACCCAGATGGGCAATGAAGCCTCTTTGCTGGGACAAGGCAGTAAGACCAAGGGCACGGCTCAGGTGCTTTCTGAAGAAACCGGGAAGAGGCTTCAGACAAGCTTAGCACAAGGTAAACGGAAGTTCGGAAATAGCATAGGGGGACTGACAATGCATTGCAGGGTGTTGGCATTTCTGGAGGCTGTAGTTCACACTAGTGCATGGGATAGCCTGTAAGAGGATGAAGATGATACCTGCAGTCTCTGGAGCATAACTCTGCAGTGTGTTGAATGATAGCCCCAGTGTCTTGAGATCTCCTGTTCTCTTCCAGGGGTTCTCAGACTTTTGTACCGGTGACCCCTTTAACACAGCAAGCCTCTGAGTGTGACCCCCCCCCCTTATAAATACATAAAAAAGTGTTTTTAATGTAACACCATTATAAATGCTGGAGGCAAAGCGGGGTTTGGGGTGGAGGCTGACAGCTAGCAACCCCCCATGTAATAACCTTGTGACCCCCTAAGGGGTCCTGAGCCCCATTGTGAGAACCCCTGTACTAGACCCTGCAAGGTGCTGGTTGTCCATCTGATATTTCCAGTTTTGGAAATTCTGCAAATGTGTTTCCTACTTCTGTCAAACAAATGACAAACTGGAAGACTAGTGATACATTAGCCAGCCTGAAATCTGCATTGCAACCCAGATAGCCAATACAGAACTAGGTCACCTGACTGGCTGACTGTGTCAGGCTTATCTGATGCCATGTCTGGTTTCTAATATATCAAATATCCAGATGCTTCTTGTATGCAGGTTAGAGCATTCTTGGATGCAGTTCCAGTGCTGAGCATCACATAAGGGGGTAGAGGAACCACAGACAGCTTCCTAACTTACCAAACACACAGATCTAAAATAAAGTCCCAGCTTATGTGTTTGTAGTAGGCAAACCTGGTCACTAGTGCAACCCCAGTCTCTGTTTGCAGGAAGATAGCGATACCTGTATGGAGCATTTCAGATTCAGAAGTTATTTTGTCTTGTCTGTTTCAGATGCACCAGAGAGGACCGATGCCTCTCTGGGGCAGGAACTTGCCATAGAAACTCCCATGGTCTCATGTGAAGGTAAAACTTCTTTGGCTGCCCAGCTGGCAACGCAGTTAGAATGAGGGGAGGCTTTGAAAGGGGGAGATAGAGAGAGATGAGCCTATCCGTTGTTATGGCTGTGTCAATACTTACCTGGCTCCAATTACCACAGTATCTGAAAAAAGAAAAGGAGTACTTGTGGCACCTTAGAGACTAACCAATTTATTTGAGCATGAGCTTTCGTGAGCTACAGCTCACTTCATCAGAGTGCCTTGTGATTTTCAGTTGTAGTTCTCCTCACAGCAGATGGGGGACTAAAGCACAGAGAGCCTAAGTGACTTGCACAAGATGTGACACTCTCCCGGGGCGTCTCAGAATCTTAAGCCACTGTGTTACCCGTCTGCCTCAGCAAGAGAGAGGTTTGCTGGAGCACAAACTGTGTGTCAGCTCCCTGCCACACCAGTCTGTCCACCTCACCAGCAAACTCCTTGAGACTCTGCTAGTCTAAACCTTGCCTTCCCTGTTGCCAGGTTCCCCAGAGACATCTGTCCGTAATGTCCAGTCCCTCTTGCTGAACACTCACGGCAATTTTACAGATTTAATTAGCTGATATATAATTTAAACAAAGGCATCACGTCATACCCACGTCTGTTTAACAGTGCACAGGAACACAGCACAATAGTTTAGCTGAGGAAGTGAAGGATACCCTCTCCTAAACCACAGAGTAAATTTTGGAAGCTAGAACATGATTCATTTAATCCTTTTTTTTTTTTAACTTCCTTTTCAGATAATTTACAGTGCAGGGCAAAATCAGCCATGAATAAACAGGTGTTGCCAGATGATCATCTCCGGTAAGGTGGGGGGGGATCTTTGATCACCTGTGTTCTTAAAGAGCAAGTTAATTCCTTGGGAACAGGTTGCTCAAGAGACTGGGACTGGAAATGGGATAACAGAACTTTTCAGCTCCAAGCCATTAGTTCAGATCTGGCTCAGCCAGGGACTAATCCCAAACCCATCGAAATTAATGGGCAGACTCCTACTGACCTCAGCGAATTTAGGATCAGGCCCTGGGTCAATGATAACAAGTTATTGCTGCTTTTTGCAAGGCTATTGTACAATTATTAGACAGGGTTCAGAGAAGGGCGACAGGAATGATTAAGGGCCTGGCAAAACTCTCATATGAAGCGAGATTGAACAGACTGGGATCAAGAGGGGACATAATAAAAGCATATAAAGTAATCGATGGTCTAGAAAAGGCAGATTAGGAGTTTCTGTTCTTCCCCTCTCATTGCAATGGAACAAGGGGACATTCAGTGAAATAAAAAAAACCCTGCTTTTTTTACCCAGCGCATAACTGGAACTCATTGCTATAGGAAGTCACTGAGGCCAAGAGTTTAGCAAGATTCAGAAAGGGTGTGGACATTTATATGAGTAACAATAATGTCCAGAGTTATAATAGTTAATGCCAACAAATTTAGGAAGGGGATAAAACCTCATGCTTTAGCCAATCTCTGTCTATGAGAGACCAGGATGAGAACAGGTGTGGGGGAACAGATTATCCCACATCTGCCTGCTGCGGGGTTCTCACACCTTCTGGAGTCATATAACCTGCTGGCTGCTATTGCAAACCTGATACTGGTCCTGGTTTGATCCAGTCTGGAAATGCCTATGTTGCAATTCTTGATTGCTGTTCAGGAGCCTGTGTACACTGGATTTTTGATAGTGGTCTAAATGCTTCATACTGGATTTTCTATCTAGTTAGGATATAGTATCTGGGCACCTTATTAACCTCACAGCAGCCTGTGAGGTATGGCATTACTATTATCCCCATTTTACAGATGGGGAAACAGAGGCATTTGCCCAAGGTCACACAGGCAGTCAGTGGCAGAGTGGGGAATTGAACCTGGTTCTCCTGATTCCGAGTCCCATGTCTTAACTGGAAGCCCATCCTTCCTCGGTTGGTGGGTGATGCCAGACAACTTGGGGATTTTTATGTCAATTTAAAGGAAATGAAATATTTTTTTTCAGTTACATTTTGGAGTGTTTCATATTTTCTGCAGTAGGGGTGCCCCTATGACCATGGGGATACTGAGGACTGGGCCCTGATGGGATCATCCCCAGGGGATCCTTTAGCGATTTTCAATTTGGGCTACAGCGGGCTCGCCCTCTCTTCTCTCTCACCATAGAGTTGAACAGGAGTTCCTGGACAGGGTGGACAAGCTGATTAAGTACCATAAACGTGGCAAAGAGGAAGCCACAAACCTGGCACCCTGTGAATGTGGAGAGAGAGTGGAATTGGTGGTCTCTGCCCTAGCCCGCCATTGTCTGATGGTGAAAGACAGAACGAGGGCTTTTTATTATCTTCTGGAGTCTGCGGCTGCTTCCTTATATTTATCCAACAATTATATGGTGAGTGGGCCTCCATATGTTCCTGCATCTCTAGCTGACCTAACCCTAAAGCTGGCCCTGGATAAGTTTCCTCTGGCTAATAAGTAGGGGGTGGAGGGGTCAGAGTTGTGTGTTCTGGGTAGGCGATGGCCCAGCCTCTCACTGTATCTCTCTGTGTTTGCTTGAGGCATACTTGTATTTGAAGAAAGCAAGTGGCCTACAGGAATTGTCAGCATTGGCAGTGTTCCCTTGTCTGCAGAGACCTAAACTGAAGATCAACCAGTTTGAGGAAGCCACTTTCTGCAGCCTCAGGGGAGAGGTAAGAAACCAGGTAGATGCTGAAGGATGTCTAAAGATGACCTGGTTCACGGGGTTTCTGACTCTTGCTCTCCGCCTTACCCATGAGCCCCAAATCCTGTGCAAACCCCTCAGGGTTCTACCACCCATCCATCTCACCACTGCCACCTTAAAAAAGATTGGAGCAAAATCAGAAGCCCACCTGCTTTTGCCGTTTAACTGCCGGGGCTGCTGCAGTTTGCTAATAAAGTGTGCAATCTGAGAGCTCTCTTGGATCCCGGCTTCCTGGAGGAGCAAGTACCAGCAGCAACCCAAGGAATACACAGTATCCCCCCCCCCCCATCTGCTCCTGGCTTTGGGTTTGCAAACTTCCCTTTCAGCTGCAGACCCCACCATCTCCTTTTGGAGGCTGACCTTGCCACAGTGGCATCTCTAAATCTTCCTACCTCCCGATTTGATTCCTGCAATGTTTGTGAGGCACTCAGATATTAGCAGGGACCAGAATAGAACCTAGACAGACAGATACACAGTACCCCATTATTCCTTTGTTGGGCACCTACAGCTCAATTTGTCTACAGGACCCCACTTCAACCATGTTTTATCCTAAAATGAGGAAAATGTCATTCAGCTTCCCTGACCTCGTCAGACTCTAGGTGCAATTATACAGGGATGTGGTTGCAGCGATTGCCTTACTAGTCACTCCCCATGCAGGTCTGCTTCAACATGGGCCAAATCGCACTGGCCAAGAGACTGATCAAGAGGGCCCTCTGCTTACTGCACAAGGGGTTTCCCCGTACCTGGCTCGGAGCCTTCTTCCAGTCGTTACTCGAAGAATCCAAACACTCTGCGTATCATGCTCAGCAGCGTCAGGCCCAACACACAGAGTAAGAGGTGGAATCTCAGCCAGATGATTGTGGGTCTTAGCCCTCCAGGCCAGCAGCTATTTGCAAATGTCACCATGGAAACTGAACACAATAGGCCTGATTGGCACTCTGTGTTCAAGAGAGTTTCTAATGGGCCCCTTTGCTTGATCTCTCATTATTTCATTAGCAGTTACCGTATACGTTTGACTTGCTGTGACCGCTAACATCTAACACCGTCTCTCCAGTAGGAAGGCATTAGCTGTCCTGCAGCAGCAGATTCACTGCCTCTCCTTGCTCTGGCAGTCCTACAGCCTGGACTCTACCACCAACAGGAAGTACTCCCGGCTGGCAGCCCTGATGGAAATAAATTTGGCAGATGAGTCTGAGAACAAGATGCAGGTGTGTGGGCCCTTTCCTAATAGTCCTGGTATAGATGGCAAAGGTCTAGCTACCTCACCTCTCCAGGCGAATATCCTCCACGTATCAGCGTGGCTCCAGAAGTAATAATCCCTGGGAAGAGGGAAGTTCCCAGAAGGCTTCTGAAAGGAGGCCATTTTATGCTCTGGGGTAATGTCTCTGGGCACAGGCAGTATTGCTGCGTGGGGTTGATCGAGAACAGAAAGGCTTTGCGTCTTCATATTGCAAACTATACCGGAGCTGGCAATTAAAAAAGAAAAAGAAAGCTTTTTGCAAGAGAAGTTACCATTAGCCCAGCCTTGAGAGCAGGGGGCAAAGTCATAAGTCAAATATTTCTCTATGTTTTTAATTAGAAAAGTCTCTGTGGCAATCAGATAACCATTGAGTGTCAGCGTGATGTTTAACACACTGCCCCATGTTAGCCTGCTCCAGACCTCCACTGAGCTGGTGCTGCTTCCAACTCAGTGCTGATGTCTCTAGATATGGAAATTTTTCTCCACCTAAACATACCATCTACAATGAGACACCATGTTCTATTTGGGCAAGATCCCCAGGCTTGCTCCCAAACTAGGGTCTTCTCCTGCTTGGCCTGCTGCGTGGCTTTTCCTTCAGCAGCCTTTTATTTTCTTTATACGGTTGGTGAATTTCAGCAGGGTGCATTTTCGTATCTTCTTTTCAATGCCTTAGATCATTTCGACATATATGGATTTTTCACAGTTCTCCCAAAGTATGGGCTATAAAGACGAGTGGCTAAAATACGAGATGATGGCTATCCAGAGAAGTTCCCAGTGCAACTTCACCTTCACCAGGGAGAGGTTGCTAATGACAGCACAGTTAGCTCAGGCACTGGCCTATAGCAAGCTCTGCTTGGGTCACCTGACCCGATCCATCCAATTGGGTGAGTCCATTCTAACCATTTGCTGGGAGGGAGAGTTTACATAAACCCGCGCACCATATATACAGGCATATGTATTCTTTCTTCAACAGGCTTTCAAGCTCATACAATGTGTGTGCGGCTCCGGAAAACCAGCCTCCACTGCCTGGTTCTTTCGGTTCTCTTCAAATCTGCGTTCCTGAAGAACAAGTACTGTCATCATTTCATCTGGCTGTGTTAACTCGCTAGAGTTGGGGTATTTATGTTGTGTTGGTCAAGATGATTTATAAAGAGAGATGGACGAATGCGTGTAGATGGGCAAATGGGGTGGCGTAAGAAAGACAGGACGGAGATGGAAGAAGGGTCCGAGAGATGGTGCGATTGGTGGACGTAGATGGAGGGGGAGGCGTGGATTGATTTTAACCTGGCCGGGATCAACAGTATGATACAGCAAGCTGGAAAGGCTTGCTGTCGAACCAGCCCTGACGCCAACTACTGCTAGCATGTTAGGGTCAGAGCTCCCTTAGGACTTTCCCGCTGCGCAACAGGGTCTCAAGGGGTAGTTTATAATGACTCTTAGAGCTCGTAGGTCTTATTTTGTAGGTACACCCAATGCATCAGAGTCTTAGAGTGGCTGTGGGAACTGGCTACTCAAGAGGAGAGCATCATGGTCTTGGCATGTTTCTATTCAGCCTGTTTAGACCTGCTGCTTTGTGATGCTGGTAAGTGCTGTCTGGAGTTTAAGAAGGGTGGCCAGACACTGCTATCCTCTGCCAGGATTCATGCAGTTTTCATGATGGGAAGAGGCACTTAATGCAGTGCTTACACTGGCTGGGAGGGTTGTGTTACCAGCAGTATCCACTATGGCCATTAGTAGTATCTGTGTGGCTATAACCTAGGAGCTCTACTCACAGACCAGGACCACATTGAGCAAGGCGCTGTATGAACACAGAGCAAAGACCGTTTCTGTCTCAAAGAGCTTACGCCCTAAATGTAAAAGGGAGACGACATCGTCATGAAGCAGAGCATCAGGAATGTTGAGGTGCTCTGTTCTTGCACGTCTAGACTGAGATGGTTCAAGGGGACTCCGAGATGGCCAGAAAAGAGCACAACTTGGAAAGGCATCTGCTAGCCTCTCATGCAGCCGTGCCTTTCTCAGGCCCTCTCAGTTTCTCTTGTGTTGGGACCTTAGTGTGTGAAGAGGGGAGTCATTGCTCTTCCTACCATGAGTTTTTTATATTGAGTTTTAATGTAAGGAATGAAAATCTCTGTTGACCTATACAGGCCATTTTTATTTCTTTTGGACAGTTTTGAAAGCTGATTTTTGGCTGCTGATCAGGTACTAGATGGGACCAATTTGCATGCCACACAGATTGCTGACTTACTTAAAGGAAGCACACAGAGCAGTGCTGACTTTGTCCAACAGGATGAGCTTGTCTGGTTTCCACCTCTACACTACAAGCTGGGGTTGGTGGTTTTGAAGCTACCCTAGGTCTGGCTTTTGCCAGGGAACCAACAGGATTCCTTATTAATGGGCAAAACATCATAAGGGAAAATATGTTTTTGTAGGACCTACTTGATCAAAAAACAAACTTCATCTCCTAAAGCCATGGCCTTAGCATTGAGTAGACCACTATGGGGTGCAGGGGTTTATTCTCAGGGAGCACCACCTGGTAAGGATGCCTCCTCTAGGAGGAAAGGTAACTGATGTCTTCATGTTAACTCATTCTTGATGCTTTCTGATGGCACCAGGGACATGGTGCTTCACTAAAAATGCCAGATTCAGTCAGCATCCAGCCATGATTTAAACTGACAACCCAAGGTCCTTGTCACCAAACACACCCAGGTGAATGGCTGTTGTGAGGTCTCTTCTGTTCCGACACTGTCCTGTTAAGTGCTGTTGAGTGGAATGGCTTCTCTGAGGCCCATTTCTTTTGCAGGGTTTGATTACAGGCCCATTGAGGAGTGCCTGCAGTTCATAAACCAATATGAAGCCAGCTGCATCCTTAAGTCTCAGAGCAACATCATGCTGAGTCTATATTCCTCTTTGGCAATCTGGTAATACAGGGGTCTCATCAGATATGTCTCTGCTTTGGGGCATTAGCTTGCGCTCTTTTGTGCGCTGTGGGGAAAGAACCGTGATCCTGTAGGTATGGAATTGGGTGCAGAGAATTCACCCCCTGCTGCAGAATCTGTTTTAAAAAAATAAATAAAGCCAACATTTTCCAACGTGGGGACCTAAATTCCAGCATTTGGCGAGAAGGGGCCTGATTTTCAGAGGGTTGAGTATCTGCAGCTCCCATTGACTTTAATGGAAGCTACAGGTGCTCAGCTGCTCTGAAAATGAAATGGCCCTTTCATGTGACTGCCTAGGGCACCTATGGAACTAGGGCAACATTCACCCCTGTGCAGAGGCCAGCACAAAAACTTGTCGCCATTTAAGTCCCTCTTAAACCCTCAAAATAGGGGAGGCTCTTTTCTCATTTGTCCCATTTTTATGAGCAGCTCTGCAAAGCCACCCGCTGCTCCTTGCAAGCTACTGTAAGAATAAAAGGGGAGTTGTTGAGTGCAATATTAAAGCAGCCTTGGCCGGTGGTGAATGGAAGAGGTTGACGGCTTCCTTCCTGTTTGTTTGGAGGTTTGGCAGACTCCAGCAGTGGGATCTGTTCGAGGACAATTTCACAAAGGCCCAACGGCTGGTGAGCAGAACGAATGCATCCCTTTTTGGCACTCACGGCTTTTTTAGATTCCTGGAATGCCAGGGCCTGTTGCTCCGGAGAGTCATGGAAGACACGCCCGAGAAGGTCCGGGAGGCTCGCAGTTCAACGCTCGGGGTGATTTTTCTTTTATGTCAATTTCAGTGCTTATTTAAGGGAAGGACCGGTAACAGCCAGGCCTGGTCTGAGCAGGTATTGTGCATGCATAGCTCTTCCCATTTGGATCTGTTACACGCCATTCTCTTCCTGTTCTTGTGTCCATTATTCTCGGACCCCACGCGGCTCTGCCAGTGCACAGCATTCTGTGCTAGTCCAGCCCAAGTGCCCATATAATTCTGCCAATGAACCTCATTAGCCTTTTGCAAAAATTCCCCTGGCTGCTCATATGGAATCAGCTCCACTGGGATCAGCTACATAGGGAGCTCTAGTGTAGACAGGCTGCTGCCAGCATTTTAAGCACCACGCCCCTACTCAGAGCAGATCTAATCTCCTCTCTTTAGTACTTTGAGGAATTCCTTTCTCGCTGCTCAACAAGTCCAGTCTACCACACGAGGGTTTACAGCCTGAAAGCCTCTGTTAACCTCCTGGGAGATGAAGATAAGAGCCAGGTCCCTTTGTCGAAGGGTCTCAAACTTTCAGCCACTTCCCAGACCGGACTGGAGGAAACTTCTTTCAGTGTGAGCCCTGACAGTGTCCACAACGAGGTAAGCCGTGACTCTTCCCTTTGAACGCCAGGGGAGCTGAGCTCTGGGGTAACAATAGAAACAAGGTGGGCAATGGTAATTGCAGTGCAATGGGCATCGAGTGACAACTTGTCGTAACTTTCATTCTTGACGTAACAATAACACCACGAACAACACCCCTGGGCGCAGTTGGATCCCAAACTACCGTGTTTACTAGGGCACACAAACGTGCAAAGCCCAGCTACGCACACGCTCCTGCTCAGACTGGTTTCTGGTGGCTTCTAAAACATAAACCATGATGAGCACCGCTAGAGGGCTTGCAAACTACTTAAAGGGAGTCTACCATACACTGGATAACTCGCGGAGGGAATTGTCAGGGTCCGCAGTGGAACTGATGTGGGTACACGGAGATCCCACTGGGGAAGAGTCTTTGTTGCAGGTTCACTATTTTGCCTTCCACATAACTTTCCCCCTATGGTACAGCCCCTGCTAAACTGCAGGTTTAGTTACTTAAAAAATTCAGAGATTAGGCATTAAGGGGAGAGGGTCTGGGTTTCATCTGCTGCTTTATTTCCCCCTGCCCTTTATAGACACACCCCGTGGCACCTGTGCATCCAAAAAGACAGATAAGAATTCCCGTTACAGCTCTTTTACTGCTGCTCCAACTTGGTCAGCAGGGGCCACTGTGAAACATGAGTTTCAGCTTCCCTTCTCATGACCATCTGACCTGATGTTCTTAGCCCATGTGGCCTGTGCTTCAGAGATCTGGCTCTCCCCCTGTACAGGGCACAGATGTCATGACAGAACTACTGATAGGAGGACAAGCAATGTGCACTTTTCTTTTTGCTCTTCAGTAACTCAGGCCAACACCTTGAGCTGGACATTTTCTCCTTCTCCCTTCTTGCCCTCTTGGGCATTGGCTCAGCCCCTGCTATTGTTATTAACCGTGCTGAGAAGATTTCCTGTTTTGTGCACAGTATCAGGCCACCGGCAGAGTGGAAGAGCTAAAGGACAGCAAAGATCAGGATGTAGAGGGCACACAAGAATACATGAAATCTGCCGCATCGAGGCTGAAATCCGAACCTATGCCGAAGGAATTGACCTTTGTTCATCTCCAGCTGGGGCAAGCTCCCACGTCCCCCCACACTGTGCCTGCTGGTGAGCCTATGGAATACATCGGCATTGCACCCCGCCCATTGCCCTCGACGTCCAGAAAACCCCAGGGTGCTGGTGACAAAGCCTGAGGGGGCAGGAGAGACTGTCAGAGCCAGGACATTGCTGGGGAGGGTGGAGGGTTTGCTGGGATACGGAGCACGTACATTGAAAACCTGCCTTGTCATGGCTCAGAGGCCAGCAGAGAATTTGAGGAAGGATGCTATGGAAAAAGGGGGGAAACTGACACAAAGGGGTTCTTTTCTTTTAGTCTGTGTAGTTTAGTGGTGTTTATGGGACCCTGGAGTGATTGGGTATAACTCTGTACTCAAGGGGTATGACTACACTACAGTCAAACACCTGGGACTGGCTCGTGTTAACTGACTCGGGCTTGCAGGGCTCTGGCTGTGAGGCTATCAAATTGCAGTGCAGCTATTTGGGCTAGAGCCCGGGCTCTGAGGGTCTCAGAACCAGCTGCGGGTGTTTCATTGTAGTGTAGACATACCTTAGGATAACCTCGGAGCGGGACAAGGTTCTGTGAGAGTCCTACTGAGACCCCTCTTCCAGCAGATATATCTCCTGATAGGGGTATTGAAAACTTGCACCTGAACCCTTGGGCAGTGTATAACAACAGTCCTGCTATGGAATCTGTTCCACTGTTCTTCCGGGAACTCATTCCTCCTGCTAATGCATTGGGAATTCCTGCAAATAATCTTCCCCAACATAATCCTCCTCCTGCAGGGACCAGCCACAATCGTATCAATAGCATAGATTTTAATGGAAGGTGCAACAGTTTGAAATGTGTATTGTTTATAATAAATTTATTTAAGACATATTTATAATGTGCCATAGAAGTGAATACAGAGTGACTTCCACACCCACCCACCCACTGTTAACTCTGCATTACGATACAGTTTTACTTTGCACAGTCATATGGCCTTCGGTGAGGCACCAGTTTAGCAAAGCACTTGAAGTCTCACGGAAGTCAGGAGGCATCCTCGCAGGCTTAAAGTCAAGCATGTGCTTTGGTGCTTTGCTGAACTGGGGCCCAACAGAGGGAGGTGATTGAAAGGTAGCCACTGTGGAGTTAACTGAACCGTTAGAGAAGTTGTAAGACTGAAAGGGAAATGGAGCATGTTCCTATATTTCACGGCACTTCCCTGTTGGGCGCTGTGGCTTATCAGAGGGAGCCAGTTTCCTGATGGGGGGTTTATAGCCTCCTATCACTAAAAATAGAGCCACTAGAGAAAGTAAATGCACCCCACCCTTCCACTGCATTTATTTCCCAGTGGCTGAATCCTGCTACTGGGTCATCCTAGCAGTATAGCTGTTTTTTCCAGTTCTTTGCATCTCTGTCCCAGTCCTTTGAATCCATCCCCTCCTTCTTTTCTCCTTTTCACCTGCTTTGCACTCGTACCCCCCATGGTCCTATGTTACTGTACAATTCCTGTGGTTGTGGGACTCCCTGCAGCACCCGTCATCCTTGCTTCCTGTTTGAGAGATCCCTGCTGGGCAATGCAGGTCACTAATTCTCCCCACCAAGGAGCGAGTATGTTACCACTGCAGAATTCCCTGCACCTGCCTGGCCATGGGGACAAGAAACAGGAAAGTAGACACAGGTCTATCCTACCAATAGGCCACAAGGTAAATAAGCCTTACACCACAATTTGTATTTAAGATGATGCACTGTGGTAATGCCCAGAGGAGCTAGTGACAACCAGTGCGGCATGTATCTTCCTTTCAATTCCAGATGCATTCAATTGTCAGCGACTGCAGTTTCTGCGATAGCAGTTCAGGAGAAGAGCTAGGAGGGGGACACTAGATTTCATGGGATCTGAGTTCAGTTAGGGACGGTTTGTTTCTCTTTAGTCCCAGACCGTGGAGGTGAGTCTCCAAAGATGATGGTTGCATATTCCATGGTGCCTGAGGAGAACAGGACAGCTGAGGGCTCAGCAGAATGTTTGGCACCTTTTGGCTTTGGTGGAGGTTCCACGTTGGCATACGTGACATCGTCTGGATTTGGCTTGGGTTGGTGCCTTAGCATGGCATATATTATACCGTTCTTCAATTCCCCATCGGGGGTGGCATCTCTGGGGTGTCCTTCATCCTTCTGGAAAGCCACAAATAATAGGAGAATAAATTGAAAGTCATCTTTTTTTAACACTTCCACTTCCTAAATATTAAGTCTCACTTTACCACAGCTAAAAATCTCCTCTCTAGATGGGGAAACTAGGGGGCACAGGAAAAGAGAAATACATTTCTCTAGGGTGCTCACAGAACATCCCTACTGTAAGGACTGAGGAATTGGACTGAGGCACTTCCCATATTGGTTTGTTCAGTAATATGAATGCATTGCAATCATCTAGCATTCAAGGATCTCTGAGTTTAGACCTCTGAGCCCATGCTGATCAGATTGCAGATTCGGGGACATTAAACTTCATGCAGCTTGTGGTCATGGTAATATCCATATTACCAGCACACAAACAGAAATACAAGAATCCTGATTCCCATTCTCCTGCTCTAAACACTAGACAATCCTGCTTCCATCTGCTTCAAGTAGCTAGATGTAGGAGACAGAACAAAGTGCTAGAAATACCAGACCTTCAACCTACCTGCCGTGCTGCTAGCCTGCAGTTAGGGTGGTCACCAAAATTCAGCCCATTCTCTACTGTGAAAGACAGAATCTAAATTTAATGTACAAACTGTACCTAACCCTTTGTATTTTATGTACAACTAAAAGTGGGCCACGGGGTGAAGGATCTAGCACCTCTCTCCCCCCCATTTCCATTCAGCATGACCCTCACTACTGTTGACCCAGACCAGTGGGAAACAAACCCAAACTGCATGAAAACTGGACAAGTGATAGAAATGTACCTCTTTTTCTCCCTTTGGTGAAAATAATAGCCATGATCGCAATCAGTGCACTGCAAACCAGGAGGGAGACCAGTGCCAGGACAACATAAAGAGTTCTGCAAGGAAATGCACAATATCTCCATTAATATTCTTGGCATCAAAGGTGACCTGGTTAATTTGGGAGGGGACTCTGTGTGTTGGAAACTGGATTAAGGCTCCAAGATCTAAATTCAGCATGCAAAAATCACACCGGCTGCTTGTACCTTAATGCAGTTCCACTGACGTCAATGGGGATACGCTGACTGATGCCACCGGAGGATCTGGGCCTGCTTTATTTTCCCAGGGTTGCTTCTTGCAAGGGATAGACTCAGGAGCTTGAATTATTATCTAGCACTTGCTGGCAGTGCTACTAGAATTCAAAGGGAGCCCACCTCATTGCTATGCTGTACCCCCTCCACGGGTCTGTCTTTCATCAGGGTAATTATCAGGGTTGTCTTTGATCAGGCCTGGTAATGGCTCTCATTTGACATGTGATATTGTTTGGTCTTAGGCTGTGTTCTTAATGCAAGAGACAGAGAAGGCACAGCACAGCTGGGTGCTGCGCTCATCCCCTAAGTATTCTTAAGGAGTGGAAAGAACAGACAGCTCAACTCCTTCACTAAGGGCCTGTTCCACTCCTACTACAGCCAGTGGGTGCCTTTCCACTGCCTTGGGGGTGATCAAACCCTGTAAGAGACTCAGAGGAGGGGGTGTGTGTTAGTCTTTTACAATCCCACCCTTTTAATCTGCAGCAGACTCAGCAAATCTCCTCTGGGGACCCTACAGTCAGCCCTGAAGACTTTTGTTTGTATGATGTTCATACCTCTGCTCCTTGTTGCTGGCCACAGTTGGGTGGGCGTTTTCCCCCTCGTTAGTGGGAGGCGAAGTAGCCTCATTAACTGTATCATGAGACACACTTTTTTCTGAAAATAAACACAAGAGTGAGTGGCTCTCCCCCGCACGGCCCTGGCCTGCTCGACATTCTGGAAGTGATGGGAAATCACAACGAATCTTTAGAGCCTCCTCGTACTAATCCTGAGTGATCGCTTGTTGGTCAGCAGTGAGAATGTGACAATGGGGTGTGATGCAGGAGCTCTTTACCGCCCAGAGGAGTCCAATAATCCCTCAAGGAAGTGCTGTGCATTCTATCCAGGTTGTTATATGGTGCCCCTCACCGTAGTATCTGAGCAAAAAAAAGTTTAGTGTCGATACCGCCAGAAAGTGAGTAGCAGATATGGAACTAGAACTCACATCTTCCGAGTCCCAGGCTCCCACACCACCCATTGGGCTACACTTTTTCACTGGAGACATTTATAGCTAGTAAGGACCAAGCCTTGGAAAATCTACTAGAGGAAACAACCCTGCAATGGCCAGAGGGATAGTCTAGACAACCATTGGTTTCCATGTGCCCAACCTTGCCAGTTGCTGAGTGCCTCCAGTGAGATGGACCTGGTAGGTCTGGGGTTTATGACAGATAAAAGGGCTAATGCCAGAGAATACATGTGAGCAGGGACTGATAAGCCACATATGGGCAAAAGGTCCCCTTGGATAAAGATCCAAGTGCACAGTTTATGATCTGACCCTCTTCAGGGTTATTGGGATGGAAGTGTCTAGGGGACAGGCTATCCCTTGTGAGGCTCCATTTTCAGTCTAGTCAGAAAGACCACAGGAATCGCTTCTCCCAATTTATTTTCTGTATTTCTGTTTCCTATACTGGCTCAGAGTAGGAAGTGTGGAGAGGCATGAAAATGGGTATCGAACATAAGAATGGCCATACTGGATCAGACCAAAGGTCCATCTAACCCAGTACCCTGTCTTCCGACAGTGGCCAATGCCAGGTGCCCCAGAGGGAATGAACAGAACAGGTAATTATCAAGTGATCAAAGAAAAGTTTAGTATTCATGAACTATAACAAAGGAATGAGTTCAATCAGAGATTTGGGCAACATTCAGATCAGTTCTGGGGCCATTTCATTTGCTGGTGTAAATTGGTGTAGATCCATAACAACTAATGATTCCGCTCTGATTTACGTGAGGCAGAGGATCTGCCAGAGTTTGTTTTTAATACTGGTAAATATCAAAAGTCTCAAAAGGTAAATTCAGAAGTTGTCTCTGGGTCTCCTGCAATTTCCCTGCTCTGAGGAGCCCATCTGAGTTCTGCCCTGTAACCACATCCACCAGGGGATGAGAATTTGCTGACTTTCAAGGGAAGTCCACTTTTCTTTGAGTAACTCACCCAAAACATTCAGTGTGATCATCTTCAGTAGCACGGTACTTCCCTGGAGATGGGTCTCACAACGATACTCCCCTGAGTCATGTAGCTGGAGTGCCACCAGTGTTACTATAATCTCTCGGTTCCACCGGTCAATCTTTATCCTGGTCCTTCCTTGTGTATTAACAATCTGATCGATCTCAACGCTGACAACAGGTTGACATCTGGTCGCGGTTACCATTTTGCACCAGGTAAAATTACTAGGTATCCTGCTGTCATCCATCACAAAATAAGAACAATTTAAGGAGATGGAGCCTCCTTCTTTTGCAGATAGCCTCATGGGAGCTGGAGAGAGAAACCGGTGACTGGTTATTGTGAGAGAGGGAAGGAAAGAGACATGTCCTGTAGGTGTATAAATGCCACCTGCATCTAAATGGGAAGACAAAGGATTAGACCAAACCCCAGCCCAACAGGAGCTTGCAAAAGACATGGAAATAATCTTTCCCAGCCCAAGGAGAATATTTCCTAGGATTGGCTGTGCACAATTACCACGGGAAAACTGCGCAGTATCCAAGCTGCAATCAATCACCATGGGGCAGCCCTGAATCCAGCCTGTTG